GCGATTTTTGAAAAAAAATTTTTTTAATTAAATTCTTGACTTGTGTGATATTTGTTCTTTTACTTTCTCTTTAAGTGATTCATTTTTAAAGCTCTAAAATAAATTCCCCTTCAAACTTTGTTTACTTTCAAAATTTATTTTAATCCATTTTTGAGAGTCATCCTTTCTATTTGAGTATTAAAATCAAAAAAAATTTTTAGATTGAAAAATTTAATTTTACCTTGAAAAAGTGCCCAATAATCCGTTTTATGCCTATTAGGCTCTTCCTTTCTCGAATTATTTGTCAAAAAAATTTTTTTAATTTTTTATTACTTCTAGTAACATTATATTTTGATCCGTAATAAAACATAAAATATTAATAAACTAAACAAAGTCAAAAGAAAAACTCATTTTCAAGTCATGCGTGTTGTCGTCTTCCTTCCACCTACGCCGCCTATTTAAAAAAGACTGCCTACTATGACCCCAAAAATTGATAAAAATAACATAAAATAATTTAAAATGTATCGTCCAAAAAATAATTAACAATTTATTTTTATGTTCTTTATCTAAATAGTATATTGTTGTTTTATTTCAATGAAAAATTTTTAAAAAATTTATTAACCAAATTTGTCTATTTTTAAATATTTTTTTGTGTAGTTATTAAATAAAAATGACTGTTTTTAAATGTATTTTCCCCTCATGTATTTTATAATTTATTAAATTGTATTTTCCGGATATGTATTTTTTGTATTTTTTATTTTTATTTTCCTGAAGCGTATTTTCCGGAAATTTATTAATTTACTATAATGTGTTTTCCGGAAAGTTATTGTTTATTTTTCCGGAAGTTATTATTTTTGTATTTTCCGGAAACTTCGAAAAACATATAAACTTTTTCCGGAAATTTATTAATTCACTATAATGTATTTTCCGGAAAGTTATTATTTCTATTTTTATATTATTTTTCCGGAGAGTTATGTATTATTTTTGTATTTTCCGGAAACTTTGGAAATATAAACCTTTTTCCGGAAATTCCTTTATTTTAATTTCTTTTATTTTCCGGAAACTTTGTTTTTATCATAAAACAAATATTTTTACTTTAATATTTATTTCCTTGTTTTTGATCTTGTTTATATTCATCTAATATTATTGTTTATGCCACATGTTCTGTTCTCTACGCTTATCAGTTATTTAATTTTTATGACTCTTTTTTTGTGTTTTTTTTATTTTTTTTTAATTTTTTTTCTTTATCACTTTATTATTTTTTAATTAAAATTTCAAATTTTTTATAGATTCAAAAAAAATTATTTTTTAATGTCAAAAATCCCTGCCCCACCAGCCTCCTCAAAAAAGACAAAAGTTGTTGGAGGAAATATCAACAACGATAACAACATTGCCAGCACATTTAATAATTCTAATACAGGCTTTCTTAAACTCCCAGATGAACAAAGCAGTCATAGAAGGCTTTTGGCTAATGAACATCATTTAAAGGTGGATTAAAAATACATACAGTTTTGTATTCCGGAACTTTTATTTTATATGTGTTTTAGTTTATTTTCCGGTTTTTTGTGTATTTTCCGGAAACATTTCTACACAAATTATCAGTTTTTCCTGAATTGTCTATTTGTCTTTTAATTTCCGGAAATATTTGTATTTAGTATTTTCCGGATTTTTTTGTATTTTCCGGAAACATTTCTATACATATTATTAGTTTTTCCGGAATATATTATTATCTTGTATTTTCCGGAAATATTTTGTATTTTTGTATTTTATTATTTTCCGGATTCGTATTTTGTATTTTCCGGAAATCTATATTTCTAATCCGGAATTTTAATTTATCCGGAAAAATTATTTCATGTTGTATATTTTCCGGAAATATGTTTAGTATTTATTTTTAATTTTCCGGAAATGTTTATATTTTAGTTGTATTTTCTATTTTCCGGAATGTATTTTCTTGTGTTTTTTTCTTTTTAATAAGTATTTATTTTTAATTTTCCGGAAATGTTTGTATTTCAGTTGTATTTTCTTTTTCCGGAATGTATTTTCTTGTATTTCTTTTGTTTTAATAAACTTGTATTTTAGACAAATGGTCGTCGTCGGAATAGAAGCAGTTCCCCTTCACCTGATATAAACAATGATGATGAAGATGATGAGGACGCTGAAGAGGAAGAAGATGAAATCGGTGATCTTCGAGTTGGAAAACTAAAAACAAATGGAAGTAGAGTAATGTTTAGCAATAATAACAGCAATTCTTTACGGCCAAATCTCTTGGAAGAAGGGGAGAATGGGTTAACTAATGGATCTAGTAGTGATATGATGGTGAGGAAGATGATGATTTTTTATTGGATTAAATTTTGAATTCTGATTTTTTTTGATTTTACATTTCAGAATAAATTCTGATTTTACATTTCAGAATAAATTCTGATTTTTTTCTGATTTTTTAAATAAATTCTGATTATTTTAGGATATTTCTGATGATGATGGTCGAGAAGGGTGGGATAATAAAATGCAATTTTTTATGGGGGTGATATCCTATGCTGTTGGATTTGGTAAATTAAATTAATAAAATTATAAAAAAAATTTATTTTTCAGGAAATGTTTGGCGCTTTCCTTTTTTGTTACAAAAGAATGGAGGCGGCGCCTTTTTAATACCTTATCTTATTGTAGGGGTGTTTAAATAAAATATTTAATTTTTTCAACTATTAAAGATGATGGTAATTGAAGGTGTTCCTCTTTTCCTTATTGAACTTGGAATTGGGCAAAAATTGAGAACAGGCCCTGTGGGCGTTTGGAATGCGATACATCCATATCTTGGGGGTAAACTTAAAAAATTTTATTTAGTTAACGATTAGAAATTCTGATTTATCCAAGTTTTACAAATTCTGATTTTAATTTTTACAAAATTTAATTCTGGTTTTCTTTCAAGTTTTAAGTTAGTTTTACAAATTCTGATTATTTTTACAATCTCAAATTCTGATTTTTAAATTAAATTTCAAGTTTACAAATTCTGATTATTTTTACAATCTCAAATTCTGATTTTTAAATTAAATTTCAAGTTTACAAATTCTGATTTTTATTTTTACAATCTATAATTCTGATACTTTTAATTTACAATTTCTGATTTAACCAGAATTTTACAAATTCTGGTTTTTATTTTTACAATCTATAATTCTGATTTTCTTTCAAGTTTTAAGTTAGTTTTACAAATTCTGATTTTTAAATTAAGTTTTAAGTTTACAAATTCTGGTTTTTATTTTTACAATCTATAATTCTGATATCAAGTTTAAACTTAAAAGTATAAAACTTTTAATTTACGCATTATGATTTTACACTAGATATTTTACAAATTCAAATTTACAAATAATCATTTTTAAAGGTGTTGGTGTATCAGCAGCAATAGTTTCCTACTTAGTTTCCCTTTACTACAATGTTATTTTAACTTGGGTATTCTACTACCTATTTAAATCTTTTAGTTTTGAACTGCCTTGGATTGTGAGTTTTTTTTTGAGGGAAAAATGTAGTATTTTTTATAATTTTTAAAGAATTGCCCAAAATTAGCAAATGGTTCTAATATAACAGAATGTGTTCAGTCTTCTACCCCTGCAAATTATTTTTGGAATAGAGAAGCTATAAATACTTCTGAGTTTAAAAATTTTTGATTAAATTAATTGAAAAAAAATATTTTTTAAAGTTCAATCGGTGATTTTGGTGGATTTACTTGGCATATGACTTTCTGTCTTGTTTTTGCTTGGTCTGTAATTTACCTGTGTGTAATGCGTGGTATTAAAAGTAGTGGAAAAGTTAGCGGATTTTTTAAACTATAATTTAAAATTCTGGTTTTGTAAAAATTAATTTCTGATTCTTTTCCAAGTTTTAAATTTAAAAATTAATTTACAAATTCTGATTTCAAAAACTTTTTTGTAAAACTTAAATTCTGGTTAGGTTTATTTTACAAATTCTGATTTTTATAAATTTACAAATTCTGATATCAAGTTTTAAGTTTACAAACTTAAATTCTGATTTATTTATTTTACAAATTCTGGTTTACAAATTCTGATTTTTTAATTCTGACTTTTTAAAACAATTCTGATTTCCCATCAAGTTTTAAGTATATTTTACAAATTCTGTTTTTTTAAAACTTAACTCCTATCAAGTTCTAAGTTTATTTTACAAATTCTGATTTAATTTTACAATTTCAAATTCTGATACTAAGTTTTAAGTTTTTACAAATTCTGATTTTTTTTTACAAAATTAAATTCTAGTTTCTCTTCCAAGTTTTAAGTTTACAATTTTTCCTTTTCCACAAATTCTGATTTTATTTCACTAATTTTCAGGTAATGTACTTAACCGCTACTTTTCCTTATTTTGTGCTCACTGCATTTATGTTCCGCTCAATTTTATTGCCTGGGGCTACTGACGGTCTTAGATATATGATAACGCCGGATGTGAGTTTTCTTTTGTTATTTAGAGGATATAGGGATTTTTTATATTTTTATTAGATTTTTCTTATTATTTTTCTTAGGGATTTTTTAAAAATTTAAAAAAAAATTTTCAAAAAATTTCTAAAAAAATTTTCTGACATTTTTCAATTTTTTCAAAAAAATCAAAATTCTATTTAATAAAAAAATCTAGAAAATTGTAGTATTTTTAGAGCAATTTTTGGCCATTAAAAAAAGGCCGCGCCAAATTGTTTGTTGTTTGAATCAACCAACTCTTCCACTTTGGCCATTCTTTAATTTCTCCCTTTAATTGTTTTGCTTTATTACCCTTTTTTTAAAAATAAATGGACATTAGAAAATTATTTTTTATTAAATTTTTTTAAATTAAATTAAAATTTTTAAATTTTTTTAAATTAAATTAAAAGTCCAGTTATTTTTTAAAATATTTTATTTATTTACTATTTAAATTTTCTCTCCTTTTTTCAACCTACATAGAATCTCAATAATATATTTTTAATTTATTATCTTTATTTTTGTTTGTTTGTTTATTTATCGTTTTTTTATATATTTATTCTTAATTTACAATTTCTTTGTTTTTACAAATTCTGGTTTTTCTGGTTTTGCTCTCAAGTTGTTTTACAAAATTATTAAATTCTGATCTTCTTTCAAGTTTACAATTTTTGTATATTTTACGTTTATTTTGTAAATTGTTTTCTTTTTTTAAATTATTTATTCTACCTTAAGCCTTTTAGCTTCTTCATGTGCTTTTTCTATATATAATTTTCATTTTTTACCCCTATGCCTTTATATTGTTTTTTAATTATTATTTATTTAATTATTGTTACTTGTCCAAAATCCCAGCTTTTTTTCCCTCATTTTTAATTGTAAATTTATTTCCCTTTTTGTTTTTATTAAATGCCAAAGTGGTCACAATGCGCGTTTCTTCGGGTTATTTTTTGGATATTTCAAAAATTATTTTATAAAACAAAAACACAAATTGACTGACCCGGAGAGTTATTTTTAAATTCTCTCATTTTTGGATTGAACACGTTCAGGTATTTAAAAAAATTTTTTAATTATTGCATTGCGATTTTTAAAAAATATATTTTTATATTTTTGGGGCATTTTTAATTTTTTTTTAAATATTTTTATTTTTGGATTTATTTATTAAATTTAATTAATTTAATTTATTTATTTTTTATTTTTTTAAAATTTTAGACTAAGTCCTCTCCAAATTATTTTTTTAAAATTTACATATTTTATTTTGACGCATTTTCGGGGGATTTTTTTTTTCAAAAAAATTTCTTGTCTAGATCTTCTGTAAGAAAAAATTTTTTAAACTTAGCACTGCGGTATTTTATCCTTCCTTTTTATTTTTTCTCTTGCTAGCTTGGAATTCGACAAAAATTGTTTTTAAAATTCTACTAATTTTCTTTTCCCCTCCCTTATAGCTTTCACGTTTATGGGAACCTGATGTATGGTTAGACGCTGCTACACAAATTTTTTATTCTATGGGTCTTGGATTTGGAGGTTACCCTAATTTAAAAATCAAAATTAATTCAAATTTTTAAAGGATTAATAGCTTTTGCTTCCTACAATCCAGTTAAAAATAATTGTAAAAGGGATGTCCTCAAAATGTCGTTAGCCAACCTTTTAACTTCTCTCTACACAGCTTTTGTTATTTTTTGTGTTTTGGGATATATGGGAAGAAAAAATTTTAATTCCTGTATTGAAAAGGATATGTCTTTAATTCTTAAAGTTGCTCCAGGACTTTATAAAAATATGGAAGAAATTAATGGGAATATTACAATGGAAGAGTAAGCACTTGAAATATTTTTATTTACCTGTGTTTTTCCGGAAAATTTATTATTTTTGCCTACCTTTTCCGGAAATATATTGATTTTAAATTATGTGTTTTTCCGGAAATATATTATTTATTTCATCTTCCGTATTTTTTATTCTCTTGTTTTCCGGAATTTTATTAATATAATTATGTATTTTCCGGAAAGATGTATATTTTAAATTATTTGTTTTTCCGGAAATAAATTATATTCATATCATTTTCCGGAATCTTTATTATTTCTTAACTTTTCCGGAATTTAATACATACCGTATTTACTCGATTAATTCCCCTGGGGAATTATTTTTTCAACCCATCCGTGGCATGGGGAATTAATCGAGGGAGGGGAATTATTCGAGGGAGGGGAATTATTAATTCAACCCATTCATGAATTTAAAAAACCGCATGAAGTCTTGACGTTCTATTTTCTTTATCTACTATTTTATAGTATAAAACATGGATATATTCCCCATTACGGATCCATATAAACTTGCATATGGTTACTTAGTTCTTTATATACTAGAATATGGGGGTATTAGGATTATAGCACCACATGAGAGGTCATATATAGGGTCATCATACGATACTATCACCAAGTATGGAGCCATATAAACTTACATGGTTGTACTTTATATGTATATTATTCTTTGTACCATCGCATTATCTCACAGCATTTTATTCTTCTTGGGCTATCTTCTTGCTTACCCCAAAAAATTCACATGGGTCAAAGTAGTATATTTACTGCTAAAGTATTAAATTAATACAAGCAAACTATTTGAATTCTCGACTCCTTCATCCCCTGATACCCTTTCTTATATACGTTCAAATCCTCTAATATTCCTGATATCCGTATAAATTTACTGCTATCTTCTAATCCTCCGATACTTATGCTATGAATCAAATTAATTTAACCTTTACAGCTTTTAAATACTCTGATCCATGTGTACACGACTCTCGACTCACTCGACTGTTCAGATGACGATAAGATTGCTTGTTTCAAACCCGATAGTAGTTTTGAGGGAGGGGAATTATTCAAGGGAGGAGAATTATTGTTTCAACCCATCCGTGGCATGGGGAATTAATCGAGGGAGGGGAATTATTCAAGGGAGGGGAATTAATCGAGTAAATACGGTATTTTGTATTTTCCGGAAAATTTATTTTATTTAACTAATATTGTATTTTTTCGGATTTGTATTTATTAATATAATTATTTCCCTCACAGATTCACCTCATACATGCAATTTGATTTCCGCGACAGCAAATTTTCTGAAATTATTAACCATCCATCTTACAAAAAATGTGAACTTGGAGATATCATTTCTGAAGTACTTTAAAAATTAATTTTTATTTTAATTATAAATTTTTCTACAGGCAGCGGAAGGCACAGGATTGGCTTTTGTTGTGTTTACCGAAGCAATTAGTCAATTTCCGTTTCCACCTTTTTGGGCTATTTTGTTCTTTTTGGTGAAAAATTTTTTTTTATTTAAAAATTAGTTAAAATTATTTTTAGATGCTTATGATGCTTGGTCTAGGCTCTATGTTCGGCACATTAGAAGGAGTGATTACCTCACTTAATGATGCTAAGATGATTAAACTTAGCCAACCTATGCTTTCCGTAATTTAAAATTTTTTTAATAAAAAAAAAATTTTTTTAGTTATTAATTTGTGCATCTTCCTGTCTTATTGGACTTGTGTTTACTACACAAGCTGGACAAGTAAGATTTTTTCTGGAATATTTTATTATTAATTATATTTTTCCGGAAAATAATACTATTATTTGACTGCAATTTCCGGAATGTTTTAATTAATTTCCGGAAAGCTGAATTTTTTGTGAAAAAATTCCGGAAAATTAAAATTATTTTCCGGAAGGTTACAAGTATTTTCTGAATTTATAACCATTTTCCGGAATGTATACTTCTTTTCCGGAAAATTTAAATCATTTTCCGGAATTTTATATTTATTTTCCGGAAAGTTATATGTATTTTCCGGAGTTATTTTCAAAATGTTTTATTGTTAAATATACTTTTCCGGAAAATACAGAATATACATATTATTGTCTATTACAGTTTCCGGAATTTGTTAATATTTTCCGGAAAGACAATATTAAAATAATGTATTTTTTTCAAGTATTGGGTATCAATGTTCGATCACTTTGCCGGAACTTATGCATTAATGTGTGTTGCCTTTTTTGAAGTAGTTGCTGTAATTTATGTTTATGGATGTGATAATTTTGTAAGAGATCTTCAATATATGTGTGATGAACAAATTGGGAATTTTTGGGTATTTGAAGGGGAATTTAATTCAAAAATAATTATTTTTTCTTCTAAGAAAATTACTTGGCGTTTTATTTCCCCAGTTATTATGTTTGTTATTTTTGTTGCTTCAATTTTCAAGTCATTCACTAAAGTGCCTGAATATTCTGCTTATGATGCCTCTACGGTAATTTGAAAGAATTGAATTTTTTGAAAATTAAAAAAAAATTTTTTTTTCCCAGACTCATCAAAATTTAGAGCCTTATCCAACCTGGGCTCTTTTTATTGCTTTTGGTATGTTTCTTTATTAAAAAAATTTTTCTCCAAATATTTTTGCGTTAATTTATAGGCCTTGTTGTAATTGCAATGGCCCCTGTACCTTTTATTTGGTTTGTCAGGAAATTTAGAATTTGGAGTGTGGAAGCTGACATACCTGTGGTAAATTGATTGATTAATTTAAATCAAGTAAAATTTAATTTTTAAAGGCCTCAAAATGTCTTGGAGCAACAGCTTCAACTACTTATATGCTTAGAAGCGAAATGTCGTTTAATCGAATTTTAGAATCTGCCAATGCAGCTGAGCTTAGAAATATTGGGAAGAATGGGCGTAATATGGGAAGGAATGGGTAGGTGTTTTTGTGTTTTTTATCTGTGTTTTCCGGAAATATTTGCTTAATTTGTGTTTTCCGGTTTTTATTTTATATTCTATCAAATATATTTTATGTTTCTGGGTTTTTTATTTAATATTTCCGGAAAATTATATTTTTTAGTTTGTATTTTATGTTTATTTATTTTCTATTTTTTAGTCATATTGGTGGCGGTTCAGCCCCTGTTTCAAGCAAACACAAACATCAAACCCATGATTTTGATTATCATCAATTACCCTATAATAACCAACACCATACATGGCACAGTGGAAATGCCCCTCCTAAACATAAATATGCTCAAAGTCAAATGCAAAAGGCAAAAAATTTTTAAATTTTTATTTAAAAAATAGGGGAGAAATGCTTCAAAATTAATTTTAACTTTATTAATTTTGAACCTAAAAAAATTTCTTTTTCCACCTATTTTGTAGCCCTGTTTCTCCTCTATTTTTTACTTTTTAAATTAAATTTTTATCTTTACTTTAAAAAAAGTTATAGCGATTTAACTGACCCCTATCTCTTTCAGAAAGGCTCAGATACAGATTTACCTTCAGCTACAAAATCTGTTGATACAACAAATAAAAAAAGAAAAGGAAATGGAAATTCTACAGGAAATAGTTTAAGTAACAGTATCAATAAAGCAAAAAAAGCGTTTTTAGCTGATGGTTTCGTTCCCCGTTCAAATACTTTAAGTGCTCAACATTCTATGGATTTGGAAAAACAACAGCAAAGTTGGACGCGTAATCGACACAAATCTTTTGAAAAATGAAAGGAGAATAAATTTTAGAATATTTTTAAATAAATATTTTTTCTGTTGTGCCAACGGGTCATTCATTCCCTGATCCTTTAAAAATATTTTTCTTTAAATTTAAAAATAAATACTATTTTTCAATTAAAACTGTATTTTCCGGATGTATTTGTATTTTTATATTTTATTTTCCGGTTGTATTTTTGTCTTCCGGATGTATTTTTGTTTTCCGGTTATATTTTTACATAGACCTGCTTGAGTAATATATACTTTTCCGGAAATTAAGTTAGCTGTATTTTCCGGATTTCTTTGTATTTTTATATTTTTCCGGTTGTATTTTCCGGTTATATTTTATTTTCTGGATGTATTTTCCGGTTGTATTTTTATTTTCCGGTTGTATTTTTATTTTCCGGTTGTATTTTTACATTTACCTGCTTAAGTAATAATATATACTTTTTCCGGAAATCTCTATATTATATTAATGTATACCACTTCCGGAAAAATTTTTATTTAATTTTTGACTAGTCTAAATAAACCTTAAAACATTTACAAAGGTTACTTGAAAAATAGTATTTTTAAAAAATAGTATATTTATTTTTCTTTCCTTTGTGTTTTACCCCATAATCAAGGCATCTCGTATCGAGTATTTTATATTATTTTTTAAAAAAGGTGAAATATTTTTTAGTTTAAAATTTTTTTTCTTCATATTAATTCATTCCTTTGTGCATTTTATTAAAGTCTTTATTTTTTAAAACAAGTTAATTTAAATTAGTTCCAATTTCCATTAATTTAAATAATTTAGAGGTATTATTTTTTTGGAGATTTATCTCAGAAAAAAATTATTTTCCTTCTAAATTTTTAAAAATACACTCGAATCTCGACATCACTTTCCTTCCCTTTATTACGTCAGTATAAGCAGAGTTCAGTTCATTTAGGTCCCGAATGTGTCGTCTTATCGAGTTTCAACTATATTTTTATTTTCGGCTTAAAAATTTTTTTTCGTGGAAATTGGAATTATTAAATAATTTTTATAGTTTATTTTTATATTTGTTTGACCTTTACTTTATTATTTAACTGCTCAATATTTTGAGTTTTATTACAAATTTATATTTTTTTTAAATATTCTTTTCATATTTTATAAACTTTCTGTTGTAACGGTGATTCCGTTGAGGTGAATAAAAAATTGACTTAAATATTTTTTGGCATCAAAAATTAAATTAATATAAATTTTGTATTAATTTTTATTTAAATATAATTAAATATGGCAAACAAAAATTAAATGAAAAATATTAAATAAAAGCTTTAATAAAAATAAAATTCAAAAATTAATAATATTGACCATTATTTACATTTTAATTAAAAACTTAGGGAGGGAAAAGGGGGGCTGTAAACTTGAATATTATCGTTAAAGCTTTTTTAGAATAATTACAAAATTGCACGGAATTAAATTTAAAAAAATAATAAAATTGTGGAATGTTTTTTAAAATTTAAAATTAAGATTAAAATAAAATTTGAGAAAAAATGAAAAAAAATTGAAAGATTTTTGAGGGGAAAATAATATAGAAAGCTGTTAAATAAAAGATTCTTGAATTGTAAAATTGTAAAAAAGGTTGATTTTTGTATTATACAAGCGCTTCTCTTCTTGGAGTTGTAAATGGGCTTGGACGATAATCCTGTAAAAATAAATAAATTTCTGAAAAAATTCTGAAATTTTTAATTAATTAAAATATTTAATTCTGAAAATATTCTGATTTTTAAAAATTAAATTCTGATTTTTATATTTAAATTCTTATTAAATTCTGGTTTTTAAATTTTATTAAAATTCTGATATTCTGATTCTATGTTTTAATTTAAATTCTGGTTTTGTTTTAATTTAATTCTGATTTCAAGTTTTAATTTAAATTCTGGTCTTCTTATTTTAGATTCTGATTAAATTCTGGCTTTTAAATTTATTGAATTCTGATATTCTGATTCTATTTTTTCATTAAATTCTGATTTCAAGTTATATTTAAAATTCTGATTTTATTTTTTTTTAATTCTGATGTTTAAATACCCACACTTTCACTAGTATCAGGACTATTTTGTGTATGTGTAATTATCGGCCCACTTCCTCCCATTTCACCAACACTACCAACAGCAGCAGCCATCCAATGTTGAGAAGCAGAAGGGGAACGGGAAGCGCCCATTATCGGGAATTGTTGTTGTTGTTGTCTAACAGAAATTGGGGGTTTTGATTGTTTTGAAGTCCAGTCAGTTGCTTCTTTTCCACTTTAAAAAAATTAAAATTTCTTCTTAGAAAATTTTTAAAGGAGCCGAGGGAATTTTTCTGATTTTTTTCTGAAAAGTTCTGAAAAATTCTGATTTTTATTTAAATACTTTGTCAATTTTGTTTTTATTCCATTGCCAAGAAGGAGAGGTTTGTGGAGCATTAGAGAATCACCTAACCGAGAGGCGGCTCCGAAGTCGTTTCCACTGATACTGTAGGGAACACCTCCACGTCTGTAAGTGCCGGCTAGGGCAGATTCACGCTTTGACTTGGAAGAGAATCGGCGAAGAAGGAGACTGGAATTAATTAGATTCTGATGTTTTTATTTTGATTCAAAATTCTGATTTTTAATTCTGATTTTTAAATTCCGATTTAAATTCTGATAATAATTCTGATTTTTAAAAATTCTGATTCAAATTTTGAGTTTCAGAAATTCTGATGTTTTATTCTGATTTTAAAATTCTGATTTTCTATTCTGGTAGTTAATTCTGATCTAAGATTCTGGTCTGATTTTTAAAAATTCTGATTTACGATTTTGATTTTTTGATTAAATTCTGGTTCTGAATTCTGGTATTTAATTCTGATTTTTAAAAATATTCACGATTCTGGTTTAAATTCTGATTTATAAAAATCTGTTTTATTAATCAGAATTATTACTAAGCTTACATCCAACACAAGAAGCAAGTCAATATCGAAAGAATTAAAGTAACTATAAGAAGCACCCCAAGAACAATAGTCCAAGATTTGTAAAATACATTCTCCTATAAAACAGAATTTTTTAAAAAATTCTTAAAAAATTCCCAAACAGGTTCTTGTTTCCATTGTACAGGATCGTGTACACAAATAGTTTCATTAATAACCCCATATTCACAAAAACGACAATTATCAACTTGTAGTCTGTTAGCATCGTGAAAGCGACAGGCGAAATAACGTCTCTGTTCAGATTCACAAATCTTTTTTATAATATTAAATTTAAATAAACTTTTTTTTACAATTTGTAAATTCTGGTTTTTAATTTGTGAATTTATTTTAAAAATTCTGATATTTTCAAGTTTTAATTTTTAGTTATTTAATTCTGATTTAAAATTCTGATTTTCAAGTTTTAATTTCAGATTTGATAAAAAATAAACTTGAAATCAGAATTTACAATTGTAAATACAAATTCTGGTTTATTTTAAATTCTGATTTTTTTCAAGTTTTAATATCAGGTTTAAATAAACTTAAATAAACTTTTTTTACAATTGTAAATTCTGGTTTTATTTTAAATAAATTTAATAAACTTTGTATGTAACTAAATTCTGATTTTAAATTCTGATTTTTAAATTTTATTTTTCTGTTATTTTAATTCTGATTAAGTTTATTCTCTTTAATTCTGATTTTAATATTTAATGCGCTTATTTTAATTCTGATTTTAAAATTCTGATTTTCAAGTTTTATATTAATTTTTACCGTCCATCCCGCCTGTGCGCCAACATTTTTATACAAATCATTAGGCTTTTCAATCTGATTTGTTTTCATTTCACTATCTCCTTCTCTCCTTTTACAATTTAAATCGCATTCAGGCCCCATCGAGTCCCCAATACATTTAACAGAAAATTCCAAATTTAACGCGCTGTTTGTGTCATATCTCCCAAACAATTCCCTTTGTTCATAAAAAGGCCCAGATTCGTAAAAACTGTGAGGCAATACATTTGTTAAATCCAAAGACCAAGCATCTACAGGCCACAAAGTCTCTGACCAACTTATAATTCTTCCATCCAATAAACTAAAAACTGGGCCGAGATTGTAAGCATAAATGTCAACAAAACGCTGTGAAAATCAGAGGGATTAAAGATATGTAAGTTGTAAAATTAAAAAATCAGAAATTTTAAAGAAATTCTGAAAAAAAAATTCTGATTTAATAAACACCGGTTTTGTAGAAAAATCAAGTTGCAATTCAGATCCCCATTCTGGTTCTAAACTTGCTTCGATAACACCTATAAAATAAACTTGAATTGTAAAACATTTTACAAATTGTAATTTTACAAAAATAAACTTGTTTACCTGTATCTCCAATAACTACAAAAGGTGTAGAACGGAAATTGACTGTTTGTCTGAAAATTGTAAAAAAAGTTTATTTAAATTACAATTTGTAAAAATAAGTTTATTTAAATTACAAATTGTAAAAAAAAGTTTATTTAATTTACAATTTGTAAAAATAAGTTTAATTAATTTTAAAATGAACTTGAATTAAATTTTAAAACTTACTCTGCACTACTAGCAACAATAACGAAAGAAAAGTAGCAAGGAGAGCGATTACCGCCAATATCTCTACCACAATTTGAGGGCTAAAAAAATTTTTTTTAATTTTTTCTCAATTGTTGATTAATTTTTAAATTTAAAAAAATTTATAAATTACATCTTGTTGGGGGCATGCGCAGGTAGTCAAATTTTGCATGCGACGGGCAGGGTTGCTATAACGGGATAATTTCAATCTGAATTGAGATCGAACAACGGAAATCCTCTAAAAATAAAATAAAATTTTTTATTCAATTTAAAAAATTTTTATTAATTTATTTAAAAGAAATTTACGTCAGTGGGCGCTTGAAATATCTCTGGGCGTCTACTAGAATAAAAAATAAATTTTCAAAAAATATTTTTTGTCAATTTTTCACTTTCTACTTCCAACAGCAACACGTTTTTGTTGCCCATTCTCATCAAAATTATTTATTTTTTGTTCTGATAAATTTAAAACATCTTCTGATCCTTCTATTTCAATAGATCTCCTCCAACGCGAATTTAAAGAAAATTTATTATTTTTTTCAAAATTAATAAAATTTTGTTGGGAAGATGGAATTAATAAAATTAAAAATATTAAATTAATTAAATATTTAAATAAATTTATTTTGGGTATTTTAAATTTTTTTGAAGGGGAATGTGTTGATGGAATTGTTGGTCTATTTAAAACAGTCAATTGTATTTTCGATGAAATGTGTTTCATTTAAATTAAACCTGGAAAAAATAAACTTGGAAATCAGAATTATAAAAATAAACTTAAAAATAAAACTGGGAAATCAGAAATTGTAAAAACTTGAAATCAGAATTTTTTAAAAACATTTTACAATTGTAGAAAAATAAACTTGAAATTAAATCAGAATTTACTATAAAATAAAATCAGAATTTTTTAAAAACATGTAAATACGCCTAAATTAAACTTGAAAATAAACTTGGAATCAGAACCAGAATTATAAATTTATTAATCAGAATTAAACTTGAAAATCAGAATTAAACAAACAAACTTTGTTTTAATTAAATTTCTTAAGCAACTTTATTTTAAAATGCTTAAAATAAAATTATATTTATTTACTTTTATTTATTTTGTGTAATAATAGCCAATTGTTTAGCTATTTGGAATATATCTGAGTGTGAGAGTTTAACACCTTCTGGTATAAAGCAAAAAATCATTTGGTCACTTAAATCGATGGGTGGCCAAGTGTTTTGATTTTAATATTTTTATTTTAATAGAAAAATAATAATTAATTATTTAATGGAGGTAATTAAATAAATAAAAAAGTATTTTAAAATAAAAGTTATGAAACATTGTGGTAATTGTAGAAAATCATAATTTGTAAAAAATTACATCAGAATTTCAAAGAAACATTTTACAATTCTGAAATAAACATGGAATTAAAATCAGAATTTCTTAAAAACATTCAACATAAAAATAAACTTAGAATTAAAATCAGAATTTGTAAAATAAGCCTTAAATAAAATAAACTTGGAAATCAGAATTTTACAAAAGAGAAATCAGAGTTTGTAAATACAAAATGTAAAAAAAGTTTATTTTTCTTTGTAAAAACATGCTTCACGTCTCAATTTTATTAGACCAAAAAATCTTTCCCAAGCTTTATAGTGCATGCTTAAGGCAATATTTTTTTGAGGATGGCCGTTGAGGGTAAATAAAATAAAAAATAAATACATCATTTCATTTAAAGTATCCCTTTCCACCTACTATTTCCCTCATGAGAAAAGAGGATTTAAAGTTTTAACCTACAAAAAACAATTTATATATTTTTTCTGGGTCGGATTTCACCTGTAATAAAAAGGTGGAAAGATCATAAAGTTGTGTGTGTTTTTATTAGCAAGTTTTGAAACTTTTTTCCTTTTTAAAATAAATTAAACTTGAAAAAAGAAACTTTTTCTGATTTAGAAACAATAAACTTAAAAACCAGAATAAATACAAAACTTGAAAAAAATACAAACTTGAAAAGTAAAATACAAAAACAAAAATACAAATAAACTTGAAAATCAGAATTATAGAAAATACAAAAAAGAAGAAATACAAAACATGAAAATCAGAATAAATATAAAACTTGAATAAAACACACAGGAGAAACTTAAAATACAGAAATACAAAACTTTTGAAATCAGAATTATAAAATACAAACAGAGAAACTTGAAAAACAGAAATACAAATAAACTTGAAAAAACACAAACAGTATAAATAAAACTTGAAAAACAGAATAAATACAAAAAATACAAAAAAGTTTTTAATAAATCAGAATTTAGTGTATTTCAGAATTTAATAAATTTCAGAATTGAATAATAATTTAAATCATAATTTAAATATATTAAATAATAAATATTTGGGGTAAAAATAAAATAAAAAAGATAAGAAAAATTAAAAGACCTACTAGAAATAATAGTGCTAATCTATTTACTAATTACTCCATAGAATATAAGGGCAAACCCTTGCAAAAATTTTTGCAATTCTTGAGGTAAAAATAAATAAATACATATATGTAAATGGATTGATAACGAGGAGGGAAAAAGTAAAAGAAAATTAATATTTATTTTTATTTACATTAACAAAATTAAAAAATAATTATTTTTCTTATTAAATAAATTGTAAAAAAATGTTTATTAAAACAATTTACGACATATTAATTGCCCTAAAAATAAATAAAATTTATGAGGGAATTTAAAAGGGGAAAAGGGGAAGAAAATTATGTTTCTAAGTAAAGAAAATGGTCAAAAAAGATATTTTTTATTTTTAAAAGGGCAATTTTAAATAGACGTGAATTAAGGGAGGATATAAAATAAAAATAAAAATGAGCATAAAATAAAAGGTGCAAACTGGCGATTTATTTGTGTTTTATTTGGAAGAAAAAAGTTTGAAGGCAAAAAAGGTTAAAACATTTGTGAAGAACATAAAAACACAAAGAGAAACATGAAAATACAAAGATGTAAAGAATAAAAATCAGAATAAATACAAAACTTGGAAAAACACAAAAAAAAATAAACTTGAAAATCAGAATTATAAAATACAAAACAGAAGAAACACAAAAACAAAAATACAAATAAACTTGAAAATTAGAATAAAACAAAAACACAGAAATCAGAATAAATATAGAACTTGAATAAAACACACCGGAGAAACTTGAAATACAGAAAAATAAGCTTAAAAATCAAAATAAAACTAAAACACAGAAACTTGGGAAAAAGAATAAATAAAACTTTGAACTTTAAAACCAGAATTATAGAGAAACACAAAAATCAGAATAAATACGAAACTTGTTTGACTAATTAAATAAAATCAAGCAACAAAAACACAGCGAAGTAAAATAAGAAAAAAAACAATAAGAAAAATATTAATAAAAATTCCCCAAAAAATTTGTTTGCCAATCCATTAATAATGAAGAAACAAAAAATAAAATAAAAATCACCATTAAAATTTGTCTTGGTCACAGTTAAAGAGATGAGTAAGCCATATTAGCATTAATGCAAAAATGAAAATCTCTTCCGTATAAAAATGTCGCTCTTCCCATTTTTAGATGGCTAAATGGAGGGGGAGTGATGATATTTATTTAAATAAAAATATTTTTTTTGAACGGGAAAAGCAACCACTAAAAGCCATAACTGTCCAAAATTGTCCAATGTTTGTATTTGGTTTCATAGGCATTTAAAAATGGACGGCCCGCATTTTTAAAAAAAGAAGAGATTAGGGCCGATCAGTGCGCGGGGGATGAGGAAAAAAGACGGCGCTCTTTTTTATTTTATTTTTTTTTATTTGGGCGCAGTCAAGCGGCAGTCATTGTTTGTTGAGGAATAAATAAAAGAAAAAAATCAGAATTAATTTAATAAAAATCAGAATTTGTTTAAAATATATTCTGATTTAATTCTGGAATTAATAAAAGTAGTGAACTTAGTAAAAAATCAGAATTATTATTTTACAAACAAGTTTAATTTAATAAAATCAGAATTTGTAAAATTGTAAAAAAGTTTTAATTTTCAGAATTTAAACTTGAATTAATTTCAGAATTTAAACAAGTTTTAAACTAGTAGTCAGAATTTGTAAAAACCAGAATTTGTAAAAACAAGAATTTCTAAAAATCAGAATTTTTAAGAATCAGAATTTCTAAAAATCAGAATTTGTAAAAATCAAAATTTGCAAAACCAGATTTATAAGAAACAGGATTTCTAAAAATCAGAATTTTTAAAAATCAGAATTTGTTAAATTGTAAAAAAATAATTGCATAATTTGACTGGTCACAAAATTTACAAAAAAATGACGCGCTTCCTAAAAAGGACATTTACAGAAAAGGGTAAAAATCCTTTATTTTTTTAATTTTTTAAATGGTAAGCGATGGGAAAGGAGTGAGGAAAAAATGTAAATTTGTTGGAAGAGCAACGATCCAAAAAAAATATCCAAAAATCCTTTTTTTTATTCTTCCTTGTTTGTTCCTTTCCACGCACCCATACAAGGTGTTGGTTTTGTTATTGTTGTTGGTTGAGTGGTGGTTGAGGTAAGAAAATAAATATATTTATTTTTAAATGGAAGAATTTTTGGGAATATTTTTTGTTTGGTGGTTTATTTATATACAAATAGAGGTGTGAAAATAAATAATGAAAAAAAATTGGCGTTCATTTTTGAAAAAATAATATTTAAATTAAATACAAGAATAAATAAAAAATAAATTAAATTTTAATAATTAAAAGGATAATTACAAATTGTAGTATTTAATAATTACAATTGTAAAATTCTGATTTTAATTATTTAATTTAAAGTTGTAAATTCTGATGTACAAATTCTGGTTTGTTTAAAACTTGTTTTAAACTTGTTTTAAATAAACTTGTTTGTTTTAAATTCTGATTTGTAAATTCTGAATTTTAAATTCTGATTCTGAATTTAATTCAAAGTTTAATTTCTGGTAAGTAAACCTTGTTTAAAACAAATTCTGGTTTGTTTAAAACTTGTTTTAAACTTGTTTTAAATAAACATGTTTGTTTTAAATTCTGGTTTGTAAATTCTGATTTTGTTTACAACAAACTTATTCAAATCAGAATTTATTTAAAACAAGTTTTAATAAGGTTTGAATAATTCTGATTTAATAAACTTGTTTGTTTCGAATTCTGATTTGTAATTTCTGCTTCAATTCTTTTTATTATTAATAGGCATTAAACAGCTTAAATATGGCTCTTTTTTAGTGGATTTAAATACTTCAAGTTTATAATTGTAATATTTATAAGTCCAAATTTAAACAAGATGTACATATAAAATAATGCTCTTCAATTTAAAAGCAACAAAAATCTTCAAGTTTTCCCCAAAGGATTTAAAAACAAAAAATCGGCATTTTAAGAAAACAAAAGGGAGGGAGTTAAAAGTGATGGACAATGGTCTATTTTTGGCCAAAAAAATAAAATTTTTTTAAAAAATATTTTTTAAAAATGTGAAAAATATAAAACTCAGATTTTTGGATATAACTTAGAAAAAAGGAAAAAAAAGTTTTTGGCTTCCTTTTACAAATTCTGATTTTTGTTTTTGTTGTTTCTGTGTTTCTGTTGATCACATAACAAAGGAAAAAATTTTTTATTTAATTATTTAAAATAAATATTTATTTGTGTCCAATAATTTTTCCTTTTTTTCAACCTGACCTCGGTCAAGACCTTTAGGAAAGAAGGTTCTCTCACACCTTTAAATATTTATAAGAATGTTTGTAT